GAAAAAAGAGAAAAGAAAAAAGGAATGGTACAGTTTCTAGTTCAACAAAATCTTTGGAAAACACGCACCAGATATTTTAGGGACAAACGACTGAAATAGCTGTCAAACTCTTCTCCCTAGCTTACTTGGACACACAGACACAGATATAGCTATAAAAGACCTGACTGAGACATTCTAATCTTGAGAATTTTTGCTGCCTAGCCTTCCATGCAGTCAGCACAATTCTTGATATATACGAAAGACTCCACTGTGAAATGACAGTATATGTATCTGCTAAGTGACTAAGTAAGGCATCCATTGCAGTAAGTACCCAAGTCCTCCCATGGGGCAATAACAGCCCATCCTGAATTTTCCAGTGAGGCTTTTAACATTTCTGCTTCCTTCATTCCATGAAAGTGGAATAAAGCAATGATTCACACCCATTACATATGAGCACATAGACGCATTTAATGTGTGAGAGAAAAGCCGTACAGTACACAGTACCTTGGCCAACACATAGTAACAGTCTCCATGGAAGGTGTATTTCTTCCCATCAAAGGTTGTAATATGGGAACCTCCTTCCAATGAACATGTGCCTGGACAGGGTAAATCTTTGCACATCCATCTGCCTGAATCACAGGTGCTATAAACAAACAATAAATAATCCAGAAATACATGTATATGTTATAGGAACTGAGAGCACTGAAAGCATCTCTACAGCCAGCAAATAGCAAGCTATACCCAGGTGTTTTAAAATTAAAAATTAAAAATTTGACCACTTCCTAAAGATTTCTCTCATCACATGGCATAGATACAAGAAAATCTTTCAGAAAGCCTGTACAGACATGTAAAATAAACATAAGTTCAGAATGCTTTCAGAAAGTCGTCTACAACTAAGTGAAAGATTGAAAAGGACAGACCCATATACAGCTGAAGAAAGGTGAATGACAGTGATGATCCTTACCATTCTTCACACTCATTGCTAATGGTTTCTCCAGGTGAATACCCCTTTCCATGGAGTCTGCAGTAGCACTGGCTAACAGGTACGCAGCCATTTTCAGTGATATCATCATACACAGTTCCTGTAAAGCAAAACAGCAAACTATTACAGCTGCTTCTGAAATCAGCAGTTTCCACAGAAGAGAAACACTAAGACTGGGGACACACTCAGCCTGACACAGAAAACAGAGGCTGAGGTTACCAAAACAGAAGAAAAGCATTTTGACATTTTTGTAACATAAGACACATGAAAAAGACTTTAAGCCAGCTTTGAAATTCTAATTCGATCCATTTACATAATTATACACAAATGAAAAACCATATACTAATAATTTCAAAAATTTTCATGGCATACTACTAAAGCTACCACTGTAATTTTTTTTTTTGTAAGATTGACAGTAAGTCTTAGAATTTCACTCAAAATAATTAATAGCAGTAGTAATTTTTTAGATATAATTTGACTTCATCTAATATTTTAATTATGACCACCGTTGCTAGTGCTCCTGGTTTTGTTCTTGTTTTGTTGTTTTCTTTTTCATTTAAAGACAAGTAAAAATAATACAGACATATACACATACAAGAACTAGAAATACACTTGCCTTCAGGGCAGAAACAGCCATCCATGTAATGTTCCTCACAAAGGCTGCTGATTTCCAAGTGTGAGCAAGTATCCATGCAGGGTGAGCTGCTTTCTCTATATACCATATTGCCAGGACATGTCTTGTCTGAAAAAAAAAGAAAAAGATATCACATTATTTGAAAGTTAAGTCCATCATTCATCAGAAAGCATGGGTTACGTGACCCACTCACTTCACATAAGTGGTGCCCCAAGCCAGGCTCAATTTTGCAAAATATTCTTAATATTTTACTGTTTCTGAATTGTTTTCCCTGTCTGTGGTTTTTTTTTTTTCCTTTTGTTTATGAATTGTCTTACCTACAGCATCAGATCTCAAGCTTTGTACTAGGAATATAATTTCTACTAGCTGAAAAAGATTTCTTAATAACAAAGGTAACAGAAGAAAACAGAAAGAACACAGTACATTGTATATTGCACTACTGGTATGTAATTCATGGTATATGCATATAACTTGGTAAAGGAATAATTTATTTAAATGTTTCACAATGCTACACCCATGAAATATTTGTTTCTTTGTAAAATGTATATAGCTGCTTACAGCAAAAGTTCTCTGTCCTCCATTCACCCGGCCTGCCACCTGCATGTGAACACTGGCGAGAATACTCAGAGATGGTGCTGCAGAGGCAAAAGGAGTCCTCATTTCCTTTACATGCACACTTGTCCTGCATGCAGGCTTGGATGTACATTTCCAGATTAAGGCGTGAGTGACAATCAGCAAATGCAGAGGAGGTCAGCAACTTCTCACATTCATCACGCTGGGAAGGAAGAGTAAAAGTATTTAAGAGACTTGTAAGCACCTGAGCTTCTATATGATTCCTTTTCTGGTAATGAAACTGTAATCTCCTGAAGAGATTTACACAAGAAATGAAGAATAAACCATTTGCCCTGGAATGGATAAGTCTTCCCATCTCTTCACAAACTAACATCTCACAGTGCAAGGATGTCTCAAAGTGTGCAGGAAAGAGAAGTTTACTTGAAGTTAGGCTAACTCACATGCTCACTACAGCTTGGGAGAGCCTGAGTTTCATCAGGGTCTTCACATTCATCATTGGGTTTGCTGATCTTCTGTAAATTCCCATACGTAATTGAATTGTAGCTTGCAACTGTGAGAAAAAATTAACAGGAGGCCTTACTAAGAACAAAACGTTGACAACAAGGACCATCTGATTCCTGAGACTACCGATGAACGAAAGCAGTGATACTATGATACAATCTCTGTTGTCAGATGTGCATATCTGTTCTGAACTATGTGTATTTTAAGTGTCCTTAACAATTTAAACATCATAACAGGAAAAGAAGGCCAGCACAGAAGAGAAGATGATGCACCTGAAATGAAACAATCTTAGATCAAGAAAGCAGCACTGGCTCATAATGTTCACTCTGGGACAAACACAGCAATATCTGAGGTAAAATGTGCCCTCCTGTGATGCCCCTATACACAATGCTAATGAACCTATATTTTGTGATAATTGTCACAAAGCATATAGTATATTCGTAAGTGACATATATGACTCACCTCCACTAATAAACTCATTGTAGATTGGAACTCCATTGTAATCCCCACAAAGACCACATGTCTGGTTACCAAACTTGCTGTCCAGCTCCACCTAGATAACAGAAAGAAAAAAAAACAAAAAAGAATTAGCTGGAGCACGAAGACCTTCCAAAGTATGTTTAATTGAAAGGGAAGTTGCTAAATGACAGAACGGACTGCAAATCCAAAACACTCCCAGAAGTTGTTGTTTCTTAACTGTTACAAACTAATTTGCAGTGAAGAAACAAATAATTGGATGCAAAAAAAGTAATAAATAAATGAATGAATGAATGAATGAATGAATGAATAAAGATGGGTCAAAATGTCCTTTATTGTAATAATGACTATAAACACCATGCTGATAAGGATGAAAAGGAAAACATTCTGTAAATTTCGGTACTTTTTTCCCCTTTTTTCTTAACTGCTGGGATAAAATTTAAGCCATGCTGAAAATTAGGCAAGCAGATGACGGCACTCTTCTAAAAGACAAATGAAGGAAAATGAAGATCAGATTGTGAGCGTGTTACAGCAAAAGCATTAGCTATTTTTCAGAAATCTGCTTCTCCCTTTCTTTTGAGTAGTAAGATCATCTGCACCCCATATTACTAACTCTGTCACACTGCAGAGACAGGAATTCTACCTTTTTAAAATTATATACTATAAGTACCAGCTGGATGAGTAAGTCTAGCTCGGTTCAGTCCACGAAATTCTACTTCTATTCAGCCTACAGTGAATACTGTGAAACCCAGGAAATGCTAATTAAAAATACATTGATTTTACATACCATCAGTGCATCTTCCTGATTCCATATGAGGATTAGGCCTAGTTTGGCATAAACCTTGGTATAAACATCATTGCTCTCAATGAGCAAGCCAGAGCTGTAGTAAGGTGTCTTGACACTAGAAAGAAAATCAGACTTTGTATTAGTACAGAAATATAAAGAGTAACATGAACGTCTATTATAAGCCAAATACCCTAATGAATGGAGAAACCATTCTCCATCTATCTCAATTACAGGTCTTATGCCAGTCACTGTTCAAGATGCATAAGGACAACACCCTTAATAATATACTTTAACTTTTGAGAACCCCTGAAGTAGTCAGGCTGTTAGACTAAACTATGTCTGTGGGCCCCTTCCAACTAAATTATTCCGTTCTGACCCTATCTGCACAGGAGTATTGTTTTAGTGAAACACACAATCCTCGTTCTCTGATCTTCAACAAGATAACTTACTGTCTTAAAATCATAAAACAGCATCAGAGGTAAAAGGCTCCTTGAGAGCACAGATTCTTTAAGACAAAAAAAAAAAAAAAAAAAAAAAAAAGACATCTCTTTAACTTAATTAAAGCATAATCCATCATCATTTTGGCATTAATACAGGATATTCAAATGCTCATTAATCATTTAACAGAATCACAGAATGGCCAGCGTTGGAAAGGACCTCAAACATCATCAATCTCCAAACCCCCTGCTACATGCAGGGCCACCAACCTCCCCATTTAATACTAGACCAGACTAGACTGCTTACCAAAGGAGTAACAGCCTAAATCAAAGTTTTCTATATTAAAAACTCTGGTAATCATTCCAGAGAGAATGAACGTTCCTTTAAAAAGATCTTTCTTTTCAAGACAGAATTCAAAAAGCACCGGCTAACAAAAGTGGTAGAAAAATGTGAACAGAAGGGAGCAGGTTAAGAGGAATTCAGTAATTTGTTTCAGCAGTTAGCCCAGTCATCTTCAGTTGGCAGGACCAAGCTTACTAACAGGGACAGTAAGGTAGTAACATGACAGAATATTTTGCAGAAGGCGAGTATAGATGCTTTTGTTTGATAAGGAGTCAACTCATGGGACATCTCTCCTATATTTCTGTATCTGTTTTACAGTACGTCACAAGTCACACCACTGAAATTCATTCAGCAATAAAGGCATAATGGCAAGCAGCCTTAACCTATAAAATCTAAAGGGCTGCAGTCTGTTCAAACAAAAATAGTGTACACTGGAATCCAGACAAAATAACCAGTACATTTTCTACCCATTTGACAGTACAATCCTTGTCTACCAGGATTCATGTATCTGTGCACATCTCTATGTAACTAGTGTTGTGACTTGGGAGAATTTAACTCCTTATTACCTATAACTGGGATACTTCCAACTATTTATCTCAGGTATTTTTCACATGGCCAAATTATTTAGGCATATAAATACTAGGCAGGAACTCAAAGGCTATTATTTCTACTGTTGACTGCACTGTCCTTCCTTCACAATGAGGCCTTAATAGATTGTGGTTTTAGAGAGGGATTATAAAACATTGGGCAACTTTTCACCTCAGATATTGCAGATTGAGATCTCTCTCTTTATTCTAATACATTCCAGTGCATCAAGTACCAAAAGCCAAATTCATATATTTATCTGCCTTACAGATTTCACTTCAGTGGTGTGAAATACCACAAATTTTATATAGCAATGGATCATACACCGTTTAAAGAGTAATTTGAAAATTAAGTTCTACAAAAATTAAATACTGTGTGCATCAAAAACCTGTTCTACAAGCGTCTGTTCACAAAGGTTCTATTGTTTTATGAACAATACTTAAAATAAAAAGAGGTTTGATTCAAGAAATGATTTCTAAACATTTTTTATGGAGCTCTTTTTATGATCTGAGTACATGATAAGGGGCTTTTTTAATCTGGGACAAGAATGTATTCTGTATAACTTCATGTCATTTTGTTATGTGTTCTGGTATGACCCCTGGGAAACTGAATGTTATTGTCTAATTTTGAGCAGTTTTTCACTGCAGTGTATTTCACACTTCAGATCAAAAGCTAACATCAAGTCAAAATCTGATCCTACACTGAAAATAGATTTTTTCCTTTTAATTACTCTAAGATATACTAACATCCATTTTCTTTTACTTTCATCCTGCAGAACTATGTCTTAACCTATGAGTTGCTTCACTTCTTTCAGTCTACATATATATACACTCTAAAAAGTTAGTTTAAGCCACAAGTTGACATGTGTGACCATATTACTGGAAAAGTTTTTTCATGATACATATTGCCACATACAAATCCTTTTTTTGATCTACACTCTATCTGCTATAATTGCAAGAGGAATGGTTACTGGACTTCAAGGAAATTCTTACAATTATCAGAAAAAAATACGTCTACTTCCAGGAAAATAAGAGAAAATTGCATAGAAACACAGTTTTACTTCCGAGGATTTGCAAGACAGACATCTGCTAACATAAACACAAGGTGATACCATAAAACTAATGAAGCTACATCATTTCACAACAGTGAAAGATCTGGTTTATGAGCTGCATTTTGTTTCCTGCACAATTAGAAAAAGAAAATTCACTAAAGGTTTTTCCTGTCTTGCATTTAAATCATCCCTTATGCCCGTGCAGAAATGACTATTAACAGTAAAGCCCTTTCCTAAAGTTGTTTTTATGCTGGATTTCTAATGTTTTTTTTATTTATTAGTAGAAATTCTTTTAGCCACTATCCTATATGGTATACAGACAGATGTGTAAAGAACCAGTCCTGTTTTTATCTTCCCAGCACCTTTACACTAAATGTACTTACATCCGCCCATCCACAACAGCCAGTTTGGGCTTGAGGTACACCGTGAAATCCGTGATTGTTATCAGGATATACTGGATCTCAGGGTGGTTATTGCTGTTCAGAGCACGCTGAATGTGGACAGAGAACTCCCTGTAAGAGTCTTGGCAGTCAGAAACAAAGTTATACTCGCACATGCCAGGAAATTGATAGATATCTCCATCAAATGTTTTGAAATGGTTGTTCCCCCAGGTGCTGCAGACATAGTGGCCATGGTTTCTTGTCCTTCCTGTTAAGTTATGAAAAAGAAGCAGTCAGGAAAGTGAAATAAATGAGCTAGAGTAAAGGAGGGTTAAGCGTTGCAATATGCAGGAGAAGCCATTTGCAATTACACCCATGGTGACTTCACAGATCTCAAGTCTAATCGAGTATCTGCATAATACCAGAAGAAATGCAAATATCTAAAGGAAAACAAGATGTTAACAAACACCGGTGGGACTTGAGTATATTTTGTAGTCCTCACTTGAGAAGAAGGAACTTGCCTGCATGAGATTGGTAAATTTATTGTCTGACCACTAACACGTTGGTGCATTGGTTTGTGTTGCCAACATATGAATTTATTATGAATCGCAGTAATAGTTTAGCAATGTTAAATATTCCTAAGAGTTCTTTTCTTCTCTGATTCAACATTCACTAGAAAGGAAACAACACTGTGAGTCCAAGAAAGTTTCACAACTCTCTGGAGGGCAAAAAGGATTTCTATTACCACATGCCTCTGTAGGAGATAGGGCAGAGAATAATTGTGGTAGTAGAGAACAAAAAATAGCAGAAGATTAAGCTGTTGCTCTGAAATTCATTCCTTCCCCAGCCATGGTAAATATCAAGATGCTGCATATTAGGGCTGAGAATAAAAGCAGAGCATACCTGGGAGGCTTGCCAAACTAACAAGCACACTTACTACTCATTTCCACTGGGCTTTCTTGCAATGTCTAATTTGAGAAAGCATAATTATCATGAGGATGTCAAAGTTATTGCACTTTGATGGTTAGCAATAACAGATGCACCCAGTCTCACTGGCACTACCAAAGCTTACATGCTTCTCTCTACAAAAGGAACGCTACAGAGAGATTCTCCCAGAAGTCACAGCTAGGATCAACCCAATTCTTTCCTTCTATCATTAAATTCAAGACACAGCAAACAAAGATCAATATCCCAAGTCCAACCACTGCACAAAATTCATAACCTATTTCTATAAAAAAGTTCCTAGTTTGGGGGTTCCATTTCAACACTTCTAAGTTGATAACATACAGAGTAAATTAGAGCTTATAGCAAAGGATTATTCATGTCCTGAATGACAAAATGAGCTTTGTCCAATGTTAGTATATTGACTCCAGAAAGAAAGCATTTATGTTGTTCCAAAATAACCAAGTAACGCATAATCACCTGCTTTCTTCATTGCTGTAACAATTAGCCAACCAAATTCTATAGTTTCCTACTGTCCTGCTGTTGCAATACCTAGGAAGCTCTCAACATACGGAAAGAAAAGTAACAATGAAAGTACTTTTCAGGTACTTCAAACTAAAGATTAGTGCTTTAGATGCCGATCACTCCAAAGAGAGTAGTTATCTACCTGTGTTGGCTAAGCCGTGCAGCCTTGGTATTTGAAAGTTAAAGAAAATCAAGAGATCTTAAAACTCCACTGTAATATTTAAATGTATTTCCTCTTTCTACCTATGCAGTGATATTTTAATTCTCCCCTCTGTCATTTCCAGGAGGTGATCCGCCACCATACCATTTCTAGAGCTTACCTTTTCTTATTTCACTCGTATTGGAAAGAGCCAGCCAGAGCACAAGAAGGCTGGCAGCTCTTAGCCCCATGGCGGCTAAGGTGGGTGAACTGCGAATACCACTGAAAGCATTTCTTTATATAATATCCACTGATGCAATTGATTCTATCACAGGGGAGGAGATACAAAGGGAACAGGAAAGAGGAGGGGTAAAAAAAAGTAGGTGTGCTATTTACAGAAGATAAGAAGTAAACAGATAGGTATTTTTCAGAATAAATGAAAAAATTTAATATAGAGGAAATGGTATAATATTGATTCAACAATCATGCAATGTTTTATTGCTTTATTTCTTTCTCCTACAGGATGCTATGTTTTTAAATCCTTCTAACGCTCATGCCAAGCTTAACCTTCATTAATTCCTATGACAAACTGAATTCTGGAGTGACTGAAAAAGGAAATCCCTTGAATGAAGTTTAGAATGAGATACACTAAACCATGGCTTCAAAGGCAGAGGACGTTCAGCTTTCACCATCACACTGAATAATTTCTGTAAGTATTAAATGAGTCTTGCAAAGCTCCTTGTAGACAACAGTAACTCTTGTGAATAAAAGATATGAGGTGGTGCATGGTAGAATTATTTTGCAGACAATTGTTGGACTCCATTTATAAAGATCTAGGGAGTTCTTAATACAATATAAAGCCCATATTGTGTCCAAAATGTAATTGTGCTAAGGTGTCAGGAAAAGTTCGAGGAATTCACAGTACATGAGATGTTGTACCAAACAATTGCTGTGATGCAACAGAAAAAAAAAACATCAACAAGCGTCGTAGAGGTTTTCACAACGTGTTAAGATATAGGAAAACCAAACACTCCCCATTCCTTCACTGCATAAAAGGAAAGATTAGAAAACATTGCTGTTCACACCAAATAAGAATTCAGGTTTATTTTCAGACAATTCATTCTTGCTTACCTTCTACATGAATGATAAATTTCCAGCCTACTGTTCCACATTAGATGACACAAAAAGCTACAGGCTCAGCTTTGCTTTATACAGAGAAAGACGCAGAAGAACGCAGAAAACAAAACCAGGTACCAGTTCAGAATCCTGCTTCAGAAATATATTTCATATGCACTGCATTTTGCTCTGAAAAAATCCTCAGAGGAGATGCTTCTGCAACTCTTTTCAGAAGGCTCCTTGAGGCACAGTATAATTATTTCAACAGATCTTTATTAATACAGTTGCTTTATAAAACTAACAGCTTACATCATACAGCTCCCAGGCCAGGCTCTATTTTCTCACCCAAAGTTTCTCACTGCAGTCATGATATCTCTAATCCTCTTAATTGTTCTGAGCTTTCCTTACTTTCATTGCTCAAATTACAAGTAAACAGAGCTTCTATATTTTGCAAAACACAAGGAAACTCTTCACTTAGCCCTTTTGGTTTTTCAAGTCAATTATAAACACTCTTTTGTCATGAAAGCATAGTTTGATTTCTTTTTCTTTGCTATTTTTATCACAGACAGCTTAGATTCACCCCTAACATCTTTCTGTTTTCTCTCAATACATCTCAAAAGCTCTTGGGCTTTCTGCTTTTCCTATTTAAGGATGCAGATTTGCCCACACATTGGGTATCTTTCACTTGATGGTCCTAACTGCATTTTAGTATTTGCCCTTCTCTCCTGTGAGAGTCTATCACTAGTAGAATATATAATTAATTTTCCTTCATGGAAAATAAAAATAGTCACTGCCATTTAGAATTCAGAGAAAAAAAGAAGTAACACCTCCTACAGAGACCTCTCCTTGATGATTACTTTATCAGGTCTTAATTCTCATGACACATCAGAGGCATCCCAGCTAGGAATTTTCTTTCTTTTACACCACCAAAACTCTCCATTCAGAAATGTTTTGTAAAAAGTCTTATGAGATATCTGAAAGTTTTACTCCAAAATTTTCTTTTCCTTCCTATGTTTTTTCCAAATAAAGTCCTGTTCAGAATTATTATTGTCCCCAAAAAATAGGTCTCTATGACTGAATTCATATACAGCCTTTAGAAATTTTAACAGCAGTTTTCCACAGATCCATCAGATCTGACCTTTTTCTATTCAATTGGATATGCTTGTAAGTACAAACTGAAAACTTCCTATTTCCTTTCCACGTTTCTTTACCAAAAAACTTCCTCATTTGAGACAAACCTCATTCATTTCCTAGGACTGTGAAAGGTAATCATCTTTCCCCTAAAGACATACCGCCCCTCTATTCAATATGCTGGTGTTTTATTCCTAAGCACAACTCAAAATTCCCTTTTTTAGTGGCTGTTATGGATAATCTTAACCCCTTGAAAAGCTACTCTTAGCCAACCAGTACTAGATACTAGTACCTGGTTTTCTCTGTCCCAGCTGCAGCCTGAGCATGATCCTATCTTGGGCTATACCGATAGAACAGCAACACTTCCCTAATGAAGTCTTTTCAGCATGAATAAATTCTCATTGACACTCATTCTGATACATAGGAAGCTTAGCTCACTATGACACTCCAACTTGGAGAATAAGAGAATTAAGCATGTTTTGGAGCATTGAGCCCATTCTTACAGAAACATACTCAGGTCAGTATAACTGTGATTATCTGGAAGTGAGCATAGCTCCTTATCATCACTATTCATAAGTATTCATACTCTCACTAGCATTGGAAAGCATCCCAAACTGTAACTTTTGTTTCCTTATTGACAGAAGGGCAATGCTCCTGCCCAACAGCTGCTTTATATGCCTGTCAGAAACAATCAGTAGTTCAGGTACACAATCATAGCTTGCTTTGTGTCATGTTCAACCTTACAGCTTGTGGCTCTACGTATTTTAATCCAGAATAATCTTACAGTTAATGGATACACATCCATATTTCACTGTAAATTGCCTGACAATCTAAAATAATCAAACCATTTTGGAACAAAGATAACTCTGCTTTAATGTTAGCATCTTTGCATAAAGCTCATGGGGATTCTCTGCTGCTAAACCAACATCAAAAGTCAAAGTTTGTTAAAAACACTGAATACTGCACAGCAATTGTGTTTGTTACATCAGTGGATGCAGAAGGACGGATGAAGAAAAAGCCTGTCTTTTGAGTAATGGTTGCATTAATGCATCAAGAGTCACTTAAACTTTTGTGACAGCATTTCTAATCATTCCATTAGCTGGCTTAATGCTTATATTAATTTGAGCTGAAATTTATTTTGCAGTACTCTTTTTAACAAAAAAGTACCCAGAAGACTGTGGTTCATTTTGATTCACTGCAGAAGACAATTACCTATATGGAAACTTTAAGGTACTTTATGTGAAAAAATTAAGCAAAGACCTAGTTAGGCTTATTGTTCTAGGAAGAACAAATCTCTTTTCATGAATTTTATGTCTTCTTGTACCTGTTAACCCACCAAGAGGAAGTCTCATTTCAGTCTTGTCACCACAATGCCAGAATGACCACTGTACAAATCATTCAGAAATCAAAAAATCAGAGGTTGGCAGGGTTGGTCCATCTGGTCCAACTCCTGCTCTGCCATAGACACCCAGAGGATGGTGTCCAAGACTATGTCCAGACGGTTTGACATTCTCCAAGGAGGACTACACAGCCTCTGGGCATCCTGTGACAGCACCCAGTACCCACACAGCACTGAAGTGCTTCCTGATGGTCAGAGGAATGCCAGTTTTGTGCCCACTGCCTCTTGTTCTGGTAATGGCACCACTGAGCAGAGCCTGACTCCATTCTCTTTGCACCTGTCTTTCAGGTATTTATGGACATTAGTGAGATCCTGCTGAACCTCCTCCAAACTAAACACCGCCAGCTTTCTCAGCCTCTTTTCACGGGAGAGTGCTTACTGTCTAGGTGGCCCTGCACTGAATTCTGTCCAGTATGTCCACATCTCTCTTGTAATGAGAGAACAGAACAAGGCACAACATCCCAGGTGCCAAGGAGAGGGGAACGGACCACATTCTGAACTTACAGTGATGCAGCCCAGAATACCATCACCCTTCTTAGCAGCCAGAACATATTGCTGGGGTTCTATTCACTACAATTATGGTCACTCCAATTGTTGTCTTTTCTTTTGTATTCCCGACTTGCTGCTCATCACAAGTCAAGTCAACAAGGTTGTCAAGTCAAGAGGTTTTTCATCAGTAATGTTACTCTGCAGAAAGAGCTCCAGGATTTTATTCTGCAACCTGTCAGCATTTTACCTGATCACACAAAGACTTCCACATGCCTATTCAACTGTATAACAAACTACACTCCATGTATGTCAAGCTCCAAATTCCCTGGCAGCCATCCTAAAACAGCTCTGGCAAAATACAGGCAGATTATGAGCAAAGAAAGGTCTACAGTACACCTTTATGAAAAGACAGAGACAAGCAGCAGAATGCTGAACAGAGGTGAAAGAATCTTAAAATGATGAAGCAGAAGTACTAGGGATGCATTTCATTTTTGTACATTTAATACATTTTCAGATAGATGAACCTCAAATTATCAATACGAAATGAGCATGTCTTTATAAGAAGGTATAACTGATACAAAATAACTGAAATTCCCAAGTTTATGTTTTGTACCTTCCTAGAAAATTAAAAACAAATCACAAAAAACTGTGCCTGTAATCAACTTACTGCTCTCTCAGACATTCTAATGGGTACATCACTAGTTGCTATTCTCACAAACAATTCTAATACATGGAATGCCAATGTATGCAACTAACAGTCTGATTCCTATGACAAAAGAATAACAAAGATGTTACTAAAACCCACATAATTCTGATTATCTGACCTCATCCTCCTTCAGGGATATCATATCACACAATTAATAATTTTAATTTTATCCTAACGTATTTGATGTCTGATTGGACTAATCTCAGCACTACCACTAATTTCTTCACTGGGACCTTGAGCAAGTCTTTGAGTTCGTGCCACTCCTTTATATTCAGACAAATACACTTGTGTAAGGTATCTGTCAGTGCTAGTTGGAGCGTAATTTCTTAACATGACCTTCCTTTAATGGTTTTGCATAGAAATCACATCAATTTTCCTATTGATTTATCCTATAAAGCTTCCTTCTTTTAGTCAGCAAATCATCTTCTATTTTAGAGACCAAGATTGCAAAACTTTTCATTCTCTTCCAAGTACAAATTGAGATAAACATGAG